CTTAAAAAATGAGCTTCCCCTTATTAACTACTTGATTTTCTTGAAATGCAGTCCACACAGGAGAGTTAAGATAAATCCTCGAATAGTTCCCTTTAGTTATCAACTTTTAAGAATAAGGGGGTGTTACCTTAGTAACTACCAATGCCGTCCAATGATTTGAAGGGGTTAATTATGATTTTTACATATTTGATGCATTGCTGTCATTTCAGGCATTTTTTAATGTTTATTAGGAGCCCCTTCATGGTGGCTTTTGAATGGGTCTGGAAGTTTCCATCAGGTAACCAAGCAGGCAGGTCAAATCAAGAGCTACTACAATGGGATGTCTGGGAGGGAAAAGGGGTGGTTGCTGAGGGCCAACTCTACTTACTTGGCCTGAAGCAATATGTTGGACTCACAATGAAGCCATATAATTTTTTCTTCATGATTTGTTACTCTTTTATTTATGACTGAGTGATTACTTGGGTGCCTATGTTTATCTCTTCATATTTACTCTTCGTTTACCTCTCTGTGTAATTTTACTACACTGAGCACTGTCCGTACCCCACCCTCCCCCTGGCACAGTGTTGAACAGAAGTTATTAAAGTGGACATCACTCATCATATTTCCAATTTCAGGAAGAAAGCTTTTCGGCATTTCAACAGAATGTATGACTTTTGTGTGCTCTTTCTATGTACACACAACACTACCCCTACCCCAGCCCCCATGCACATTTGTAGATACTTAAAAAAAAATTTTTTTTAGAGAGAGAGAGACAGTGTATGAAAGTGAGGGGGGCAGGGGCAGAGGGGGAGAGAGAGAGAGAATCTTAAGCAGGCTCCACGCCCAGCGCACAGCCCGATGCGGGGCTCCATCTCACAACCCTGAGATCATGACCTGAGCCGAAATCAAGAGTTGGACACTTAACTGACTGAGCCACCCAGGTGCCCCTGTAGATACTTTATTGCCAAGCAATGATGAAGGCTTGCTTGGTGACAGTGAGCCAAATGGACACAGACAGTCTGTTACGAGTAGAGCAAAAGCAAGATCAGAAGGTCAGCATGGTGTCAGCTCTACACATACTTGATCCCACAGAATGATAACCAGAGGGACAAGATGACAGATGACAGGAGCAGTGAGGCACTCTATCATGGAGGAGCTGTTTCCATATTACATCTAGTGGGTTGTATAGCCTGAAGTTGTACCCTAAGGGAGGAAGCAAGGAGGAAAGTCCCATGCCTCACCAGAATTGGGGAGATGGATAAGAAACTCCCTCTTGGCAGCCCCCCCCAAAATAGGAAGGTAGTGAGAAACAGTCTTCACAAGACTGCTTGTCTTGCCCTGTTCCAGGGAGGATCCCAGGGCATTTCACCAAAACTTAGGTCAGCTTGCAGTTGAGCTTTGCTGATGGGACCGATATGGAGATGTTCCAGGTTGTTAGGACACCTGAGCAGAGGCATTCCCCTCTAACCAAAGACAAATAATGAAAATTAAGGAAAACTTTTAACTGTATCGATAAACAGTAATAAAATACTTTTACTTTTATTTGTTTATTACAGTAACATTATAGTAATATTTAATGGGTCAGTTGTCAAAATTGTGCTCTCTAGAAATCCTTCAATGATGGTAAGTCAGAATTTTACCACTAGATGGCGCATGACAAAATTCATCATCCAGTTGGTCAGTATGGAAAGCTTTCTCTAAATGAGAGATTATAAACAGTTTTTTGTTTGTTTGTTTTTTAAGATTTTATTTATTTATTTGACAGAAAGAGAGTGAGAGAGAGAGGGAGGGAGCAAGCGCAAGCAGGGGGGAATGGCAGGCAGGGGAGAAGCAGGCTCCCTGCTGAGCAAGGAGCCAGAGGTGAGGCTCAATCCCAGGACCCTGGGATAACCACCCGAGCTGAAGGCAGCTGCTCAACCGACTGAGCCACCCAGATGCCCCTAAATGAGAGATTATAAACCTAATTGTCATTGATTCCAAAATGTATATGAATTTTAACTTTAAATACAATTGTTATGCAATAATAATTTTTTAAAAGATTTATTTGAGAGAGAGAGAGAGAACAAGTTGGGTGGGGGGACAGAGGGACAAGTAGACTCCCTGCTGAGCAGGGAGCCTGACGTGGGGCTTGATCCCAGGACCCTGAGATCATGATCTGAGCCAGAGTCAGATGCTTAACCGACTGAGCCACTCAGGCACCCCTGCAATAATTTTTTTTTTTTTAAGATTTTATTTATTTATTCATGAGAGACAGAGAGAGAGAGAGAGGCAGAGGGAGAAGCAGGCTCCCAAGGAGCAGGGAGCCCAATGCGGGACTCGATCCCAGGACGCTGGGATCATGACCTGAGC